ATTGTATATTTGGATTAGACTAGAAATGGGCTTTCAACTTAATTTTAAGAATAATAACATTTGAGAGTGGCAGTAGATTTTTAGTCAAGGCTCCCTGCATCTGTTTTTAGTAACCTTTTAATTAATACTTTATAAATATACACATATTTTAATTATATCAATTAGAAATAACAAATCCTGTTGAATAATCGTTTTTCTTCTTTTCTTCCAGTGTGGGCAGTAGAAGCAAACAAGTGAGATTCTTGTGAAGATATTTAAAAGGACTACTCATTGAAAAGGGAACCACTAAATAAAGAAGACCCCAATTGAAATCTAGTCATACAAGTTCAACTATTTATATGTAGATATAATGAACTTTTATGGCGAGATGACTAATTTAGATATAAGTAGAAAGAATTATAATATATTCCATGAAATTATGATAGATTGGTGTGTGAGAGGAAATAGGAAATCTATTAAATTGATAGAAATAAATATCTTTTAAATGTTCAAATTCTTAGTCTGTGTTACATAATTATCGCTGTTTTAGTTTCTAATTAAACTGTCTCCTACAGAAAAATGTATTATTTGTTCTGATTAATATTATATACCATATCCTTAATCAATGGATGGATAGAAAGGAAAATTTATGAAGCATTTAATGAATTGCTGGCATCCAGGAATTTTAGAATAACAGCCATGTATTTTGGAGACCATTGGTAAGCCTTAAAATATTACACTGGCATTCAAGGAATCCTAAATGAATGGTTCTGAATAAATGGATGTCAGCATGGTTTGATTGAATTTTTGAATGAATGAATGGATGACAGCATCATATTGAATGGATGTCCACATGGGTTTGGGTGTCCACATGGGTTTGGGTGTCCACATGGTTCTGAACAAGTGGGTGTCCACATGGTTCTGATCATATGGGTGTCCATATGGTTCTGAATGAGTAGATGTCCATATGGTTCTGAATAAATGGATGAATGTATAGTTCTGAATGAATAGATGAATGCATGGTATAACAGTGGATGTCTGCATGGCTCTTTATGAATGAATAACATCTTCAAAAGTTTAAATGAATGCTACTTACAAATTTCCAAAGCTTTGCTTGAACAGAATAATCACACACATGAAGTTGATAATGTGCGAAGTCTGTACTTATGTATTGCCATGGGTTAAACACATCCCTACAAGACACAAGATAAGGATCCAATACTATTTTTCAGATCAAATAAATTTCACCCTTTTATTTATATTGGTTATGTGTAAAAGTTCATAATGTTCATTAAAATGTAGAACTATTTCTCCACAATACAAAGTAGACATTTCTTGTTCCAGTTTCTTTTTCAAAGAAAATTTTCAATGAAAAACTTGTGTTCAAAAGTCTACTTAGATGTAGCTATTTTAGTGTTAATTTGTCAATTTTATGGAATATTTTGAAAATATGTAGAGAGAATAAATGTTTGTTTTGAGGAAAGTCCTTCACAGAATCTGTCTTAAGAAACTTTAGCATTTGTAATACTGTCACATGAACAAAGAATAACATTAATTAATAAGTATCCTATTAACTCATATTCAGCTCATGCTTCATTCAAAGCCACATTGTAATCTAGGGCAGGATGTCTTTGGTTTATATAAAAACAAACCTTCCATTTGATTGGATCTGATGTGTTATTTTTATGAATGGGTATAAAACGGTAATGACCATGACATATCTGATCTAATCAAAGTGACACTGATTTTGTAGGCCAGTCAAAGTGCTTGGGTCTTTATGAATCTTAAATTTAACAAGTATTTGGCTTACACAGCGATTCACCCTAATTCATTTACTAAAGGCAATACGGGACGGAAGAATATCTTGACAAAAAGTAATGACCTAGAGACTATGAACACTTTCTGATAAAGGACCTCTTGAATCATCCAAACCTGTAGATCCATTTCTGACATGATTGTATATTGTTTTGTACATAAAGAAATCTTGTTGAATTATATATATATAATGTTATTATTTATCAAGTGTTAATTGTCTGTTTTATGTAAATGTAGGATTCTGGATTGTATATCATCTAATTTGTAATTGAAATGTCAGATATTGCATATATGATAATAGTGTAAGTCTAAATGATGATAGGCCTGTATGTTAACTGCTAAATGAAATAATAATGGGTTGACATTTGGAAGGGAAATTAATTAGAAACATATATGTAATATATGTATGAAAATTTATTAAGATAAAATGATATCTGAAGTGGGTTGTTTACTAAGAAATTAAGAATTAATATTTGGTTTTTATTGTATTTAAAGTGGATTGGCATTTATTAGTACAATTGGTTGAGGGGATCATACCATGTCTATAGATAGCAGATACAGCGCTGATAATCCTACAAGAAGGAAATTTAAGAACTGCAAAAACAATGACAATCTACACATGATTGATAGATTACTTATGGTTGTTTTATTACACTTAATCTTCTTAATATATTGCAAAATATACAGTTATATTTATCTGAAAAACTTTTATCTGTGTGGAAAAGGTGTTACAAAATGCCAGGTCACAAATTTATTACTGAATTCAAATTATCGTTATTTTGATTAGTGCTTATTATATGAAAGTTACAGAAGTGTATAAGGTAACACACATTTTCTCTGAAGAAAATGTTGATGTCGCTTGATCTCTTCTGGACAAGGCTCAAAAGACAATCTTCAGGAAATAAAAGTTGTGTTACTGTTATCCCTTCCGTAAGATATATACATATAGACCAATATAGCTCTTTTGATTGCTGTACTGTACATTAGAGTATTTCTCTGTTTATTTTCTATTTATATTCTTAAATTATTATGTGCAATGTAGCAGTAAAGGTTCTCTAGTTAACTATAGCTTGTTTGTACATTCCATGTCATATATTTGGAAACAGTCTTTACATATTTTCATATTAACACTGGCTTTCTGTACACAGTTTTCGGGCTCTGTTGATTGTTATTAGTGAACATTTTCTCTTTTGTTAAAATGATTGTCAGAAATCGATTGTACATTTATTGGATTGTTACTAACTAATCATATATTATATTGTACATGTTCTATTAACTATGTGAGTCAGTGCATATAATTGAAAGGAGAATATTCTTGTATTATATAATTATTTCATGGTGTAAAACTGTCAATGTAGATGTAGCTTTAGTTCTTCATTCTTCTGGCAGTTATTTATCATTCCTTTTTCTCTCTATCCATCTTCAAAAGCTAGTTAACACATATGTATCTCTCTGCATTCTTTTACACCCCCACTATCTTTCAACTAACTGTAACGTATGTATGTATGTTTGTCATAACTGTTGAATTTTAATTCCATCACTCTAGTCCAGAAATTCTACAATGAACCAAACAAATGCTCTATCAAAACTGATACTTTGATGTATTGTGATAGAGCATGTATAGAGGTTTTAAAGAGAATTTTTGGGGAACTAGAATGTAGTGTAAATGCACCAATTCGGAAGGTTATTTTTCATAAAAAGGAACTTTTTGTTTTTAGATGTTAATATAGTTCTATTGTTTTGTTACATACTATATGTACTTATCTTATTGTAAATCCCATACATTCTTCCCATAAACTTCCCATCTTAACTTATGATTTATGTACATTGTATAATTTGATGTTAATGTATGGATTTAAAATAGCCTGTTTTAAAACTGAAGTATTGCTTTTCTTGTTTGTTGATGAGCATTTACTGCTTGGGCGAAGCAGATTTTAAGCAATGTAGCACCAATAGCTCTATTTCAAATTAGTTTAGATGTTCATTAGATGAATATCTTGACTAAGGTTGTCAATGAACTATAAGCCATTTGCTTTATAATGCAAGCCTGACAAGGACAGCTGTCTAGTCATTTGAATGGACAAAAAACTGAGGTCCCGTGTACACATGTGCGTGCATGTAAAAGATTCCCTCATAGCACACTGTATGGCGTAAGCCCGTCTTCGTTAGCCAGTTCAGAGAAGAACATAGGACGTAAAACCCCATTTCATTTCATTTATAATGCAATCATGATTCTAATTCAGTGAGACTAGTGAGAGTGATGAAACTTGGTGTATAGTTTCATTAGGTCAACACCTTGAAGAATAGTTTCTGTTTATTGTATAATCGATAAATGTGCAAGTAATTAATGAATGTCATCAGATTCTATTGAAATTGGGATTGAGGCAGGGGGCATCAGCCTCACTGTTGGCTTGTTTTCATAGTGTGTGATTGTCGAGTGGTCTAACATGCACTTTAGATCAGAAAGTGGCATGATTTTGATCCCAAGCTTGTAAGAAATTATAGGGTTGCCTAGCCTCATAGGTTTCTCCAGTTACCTCCTGCACGCAAACGGATTATTGAAATATATTGTACTATGTGTTAGTCCCTAAACCCCATCTCTGTCACATTTAATGGAGTGGTTGGGTTGCCGATTGGATTAACGGGTGCACTTTACATCATAAGGTCTGTCATTGAGTCCAGTGATATAGTTTCGATTCCACGCTTGTACATGATAAGGAGTATGGTCAATTGTCAAATCTCATAGGTTTTCTCTGGGTGCTTCCAACCAATGCTAAAAGACCAACGCAATTTATTGAAGAAAACTCAATCATGTTAGTTTCGAAATGACCTAGTATATGTCAAGTGGATGTTAAACCCCATTTCTCTCTGTCTCTTATTGTCATCCCTTTCATCCATGCACAGAATTATTTCAGATTCACAGGGATTATTCATTAGAATTAGAGCCTAAGGAAGAACCCCATCAATGTACGAATTGCAGATTTCAAACACAAACCATAGACTATAGAGCTATTTTTGCCATTTACAATTTGAACTTGGTTGTGAATGTAATACAGGACAAAATGCACCAGTGTCCTAATGCCTATTTCTTTAGTTTAATGGTATTTATTTATGCCTTTTTGATCCATGTGCACTTTTTTCTCAGTTGGCTTCTTCTAAAAAAGAGAAATTTGACACTGAAACTTTTTTGTTTTCCATTATTTAGAAATTTTAATTATGTGACGAAATAATCAAATTTTTATCCATGGGCCATTTTCCAGTTTAAAATCTCATTTATTGTCAACAAATATGCAAAGGAATTCATCACCAGATTTTGATCATTAATAACATTTTAACCTAATTTTTTTAAGTGATCAAACATTAATTAAACACATGATATGTTAACAAAATGAAATAATAATTGTCAAGATAAAAAAACAAAAAGGAAATTAATTTGAAATGAATAATAAAACAAAAAGAAACTTAAGTTAAGGTATTTGAGTATTATTTCTTATGCAACATTCAGTTGGTAAAACATTCCAATTATAGACATATGATTTTCGAATAAGTCTTTCTTTGCTGCACAACTTGCCTGTTGTTTTTAAATTCTTGTGCAGTTCTCTCATGTCATTAATACTTTTCTTATGAGTAATTATATACACATTTCGACATCCCCTAGAGACATATTCTGTATCGAATCGGGGGTCGTGAATACGCTGAATGTCTAAGGGACCCAACCAAGCCCCTACAGATACATCCTCACTGTTAAATTTTTTAAAAATAGGTCCATTGCTTACAATAAAATGAATAAGGTCACTAGATATCACATACCCTCCACCTAAAGCATATGGTAAATAACGATCACACAAAATCCAATCTGGCTCTGACCATTTCCCCCTCTTCTTGACATGGGCACGGCCATCAAAAAATCCCCAATATAAATTCTCTTTGGGTTTTGATTTCAGTTCATTTAATATTTGATCAAGTCTAACAAAAGAATCATCATCAACTTTTAACACAAATTCAAAATTAACATGGTGGTCAACCCATGAAAAACTCTGTAATACTTTATTTGCAAGTGATTGGTAGGATTCTTCAAGGTCTTCAATTAACAACAAGTCATGCCGTATGAAACTTTCTCTATCCAATTTTTTTCTTAATTCTTTTGGCATGTTTGCAGCCCCAATAACGAACCGCCAAATGACATGACTTTTAATTGAAGAGTCATTCAACCATGTTTCTCTAATAACATCTCGTTGACGTGTATTATTAGGACCAGATATTATAATGACCACTAACTTTGCCGAAAATTCTTTAACTGGCTCCAGAAAGGATTTCTGCCAAGAGTCTTTGCTATTGCTATGCCGTGCATGTTTGTTATTAATGGCATAAGTCTGATCATGGCACCCTTGAATATTACACATAGACAAAATCAGTACCACACTAAACGTTAGGAAAATTCCACCAATCAAAATTGTTGTTATATGTTTGTTTAATCTTTTCTCGATAGTTCTACTGATCATAATGGTTCCTTGATCAAATCCTTTAAGCTGCTTTTATATAACATCAAATTACCTGCAATGAAACAATATATATTATGATGATTTACAGTCATGTAGATAATGTCTGGGTTTAACGTCCACGCTACACAAACTGTCATTTTGGGACTAATACTGTGGGTGGAAATCGCAAAGGAATTGGAAAATACTCATGAGGTTAGGTGGGTGACATTAATTCCCCTGGGACCGAATCAAATCCTATTGACTCAGTCAGTGAGTTACAGTGACAGATTTTCTTGTGATACAAAGTATTTGTCTGGCCATTCGTCCTAGATATAAGCTCATGGAATGTCTATAGGTGTAGACTAGTTATTAATATGGCCGTTATGACGATATTATGGCCGTTTTGACCAAAATGGATTTTGACCGTTATGACCAAAACTTTTGGTCGCTTTGGTTTGGGCCAATTTATGTTCATAAATAACCCTATACTATGTTGCTGCCCTGGCAAAATTACTCATACTGCAGTCCAGGTTTTAATATATTATATTTGTTAACTTCCAACAAATAGCAACATTTAAGACATCAATAGTTACCTGCAGAAACTCAATCATTCAGCACGTTCTCGCTTTCATTTCATTTAGGTATGACATGTCACCTTCTGTTTTGATTTACAGATTGCGGTGAAAAGTGAAAGGGAGGAAACTCTTAAAATGGCACGGGTGAAAACACATGTCCTACTTTACATGTATTAGACTACCAAACTATAAGTAATAAACCCACACATATTTTTTTTCATCTTCTCCCCAAAATATGACAGATTTCGAAAATACCTCATATATTGTGTAAAACCATCATTTTAGAGTTTTTGCGTTTAGTTTACTACTATAATTGTCCCCCTTATGTCAATAATAGATGGCGTTAGGGTAAAAAAAACCCCACTTCCTGTCGTCGTCTACTAACATCTGAAAGAAATCTTATGGAAGTATTTTGGTTTGAAAGAAAATAATAATAAGATAATTTCAAGGTATGAAAACGACAAAGTGACATACATCTGGTGAAATGTATCCCCCAAATTGGCTTACTCTCAGTTTACCCGAAGTAATAACATTTTTTTGTTTAGGTTCTACGTGTCCCGTTTCTTCCTTATTTTTATTTATTCTGTGTTTACATGTAACATCTCAAAAGGCAGGATATAGGGTAGGATCCCAAACCTGACGAACGTTAAACTTTTCCAGTACGGTAGGCCTAGCCTAGTGTTAGAATGGATAACACAACATGTGTTTTGAGTATCTTTCTTGACTGTCAGGTCTGGCATTTATTAGGTACCGGTACCGTAGCACAATGTTTTGGTCCTGCTATTGCTACCTTTCGTTTCGGACTCAACTCGTTCAGCTCTGAACGTAGGTCTCATTACACTCGGCCTGTACGTTCAGGGACTGTCCTATTGAATCCTTGGCGAAACTGAAATCGCTTCCCAGCAGAGGTCGCAGTCAAGCAAAAATCTGCTTTTTCACTCATTTTTTTCAAAATAAACGCAAATATTTTTTATATTTCCTCTTATTTCATTCATAAGTTCATGGCAGTAAGCCTACGTAGCTATCCTATTTGAAGCAATAAAGCACATTTCATACAAATTAAGACTTGGGATTGGCTAGAACAAGATATACTGTTTACATTCAGCCAATCAAATGTTGGCTTTCATAGCGATAGTTTTCGCTTTACGTCCTGTCGAAGTGAAAGATTGAAATGACTGTGCCGTCAACCATAGACATGCCGTTAACCTCCAGTCGTCATTAGATTAAATACAGTAGGCATATCAATGAAATAAGGACGCTTAAAAAAGGGTTGTTCACAAAACGACTTTACATGCTACTATTTTGAATATTTTGAGAGGCTCTGCGTATTTTTACGCAACTCGAAATTGATACACTTTGACCTCTGCTTCCCAGTCAATTTTACTGGGCAACTTTTTACTGCTAAACGGTCGCGTGTCAGTCCCTGTGAACGCCTGAACAATATAATTGAACATCTTAGTGAGAAAATAAGACCTTGCTTACCTCGCTAGAACCAGTATGAGCGACACAACACGCTGTTAAAAAATATGTCTCCGTCTTCTAACCGACTTGGCGGACTTCATTGAAAGGGTAACGCACAAATTTACGAACTTGGCCATATAAGATGAAACGAAAAATTTAGGTAAGCCTGGGAGAAAAAAATTGAAATCTTTGAAAGAATTTGATTGTAAATTATTGTAATTTGCTAGGCAAAGCAATAAATGACTGAAGATTCTCAACTTTTCAAAGATTTTAATCTTCAAGAAGGCACGATTTGTATTCAATTTTAAAAACTAATTGAATACATCACCGTTACACCTTAATGACGATTGAGTTCGAATTTTGTGAAAATCGGATAGGAAATGATGAACAAAGTGGCCGCTCCTAATACTCAAATAGTGTAAAAGTATGTAATACAAAGGTTGTGGACCTTCTAGAAGTCACCATATTTGTCCAATTTTGATGAAACTCAAAATATATGTTTATATCCCAAAGATCTGAGTTCCTTTCGATATTCACACATTTCAGACCGTAACTTACTTGATTATGGCCCCTGATTGTACGGACAATCACATTTTTATTTTTTAGCTTGTTTTCTATCCATCTCTTGCAAAATGTGGGCATATCTTACATGGCAACTGCTGGTTAGCTTGTGGTCCATCTAGAGTAGAGGTCACAATTTTTATCCGATTTAAAAAATCATTTGAATATATCACTGGTATGTCATAATGATGGTTGGGTTCAAATTGGACCGAAACTGCCAGAAAAAATGGGCACTCCCTGTATAAAAATAGTGTTAAAGTATTAATATCAAGGTTTACCCAAGTTTGATGAAACTTAAAACAGGTGATTATATCCCCAAGATCTTGGTTCCTTTCGATATTTGCGCATATCGGACCGTAAATTTGTTTGTTGACACCCAACAGGTCACAATTTTTATCTGATTTTGACGAAATTTGAATATAGGTTTATCTCCCAAAGATCTTGGCTGCTTCCGAAATCGGCATGTATTCGGCGGTGACTTCATGTATTATGGCCCCTGATTGTACGAAAAATCACATTTCTAGCTTGTGGACACTCTAAGAAGAGGTCAAAGTTTTTATCCGATTTTGATGACACTTGAAATGTATGTTTATAACCCAAAGATCATGCATGGTTCCTTTTGATATATATGCACATATTGGACCATAACTTCCTGGATTATGGCCCCTGATTGTACGAAAAAATCACGGTTTTAGCGTGTGGACCCTCTAGAGGTTACAATTTCTATTCTATTTTAAAGATTGTTTAAATATATCACACTGTTGTTGGTTGAGTTTGAATTTCGTAAAAATTGGTCAGAAACTGTCCACCCATCAGCATCACTGTTGGCTTGTTTAAATTTGGGACTCTCAAATTTACACTGTTGTAAGGCATATCTATAGTAAACCACACATTGGCTAGCGAAAAAACCATTATCAGGAATTGAAATAATATTGTATTTGATTCTGTTTCAGATGTCTTCAACGAAGAGAGTGAACACAACAGCCACAGCTAGACTGAAACAAGATTACATGAGATTAATGAAAGATCCTGTACCATATGTTAGAGCAATTCCACTTCCATCAAATATTTTAGAATGGTATGAATCTAAGTCTTAGTGCAAACTACCTTCATTATTTGTCAAGCCCAATTTACACTTAAGGGTGTTGCCATATCTAAGATTCGCACTAACTTTTCAAACTATTTATTGGTGATACTTTAGTACCTGTCTCCTTTTCCCCTGAAAACATAAATTGTCAACAGAAAGAAACTTTTACTTCGCCGGATAGGTCAAAGGGAGGGAATTCCTGATCTTGGTTGATCTAAAAATAGTATCCGAATTTGTTTTGAACGTTAAGATAAGTATAGTAGCTCGTCTTTCTTTGTTTCTGCATAGAAATATGCTTCTGTAGCCTGGTTTTGGTCATTTTTGATACACAGAAACTTAACTAGGGGGAATTCATTCGATGTTGAATAACCAGTCTTTTTGACAGCTGCCAATAACGAAAAAATGGCTCCTTTCCTTTTCTTTGTTTTGTGGGACGAAGATATCATATTATTTTTCATAAACTACACAGACAGGAGCGGCAAAGTCTACTCATTGCTAAATCTTGATATTTTGTCCATTTTTTTACAAATAGCATTAATTATTACACCAATACGTCACGATTCGAAAAGATCTTTTTTGTAACCAAGGAAAACGACGAAATAAATACAAGTTCTACTCAACCGATTTTAACGAACTTGGCATCAAATTAAAGCTTGCATTCGGAGGAACATTTCAGTGGGACCAATTGTGATTATATGAAATAGATTTTATTTCAGAACAGTTTACATAACGACCTATGGATTTATTTGATTTTCTGGAATTTTGACATTATTATTGGCACCATGAAAAAAAAACGCCCGTAATTTTATTAAACACTAGCTTAGCTATTTGCATGCCAAAAAATTATTTAATTCGGATCAGGCAAGACTGAGAACATTTTAGATTTATGACGAAAATTGATCATTTTTAAGCCGATTTCAAAATTTAATATCTTTAAAACCACAAGAGATATGTGCCCAAACTATGACTTAAATCACTTCTTCAGATGTCTATTTAATGATCATACCAAATTTATGTGGAACAGAGTTTGAAAAATAATATAAAATTAATTGTGAAGTTACCATAGGTTAGACATGGCAACGCACTTAAATCAGAGGTGGCAAACATCTTGTAGATGCCATAACAGCTTAAATTATCATTCACTGACGTTTAAATGTATACAGTGTTTACATGTGAGATGAACCTTGTGAACAGCTCAGACAAAAATAGCTGCTGTGGCTGTATTTTTCATTTGTATTTTTCTTATAAATTTTATTATTTTATAGGCATTATGTTGTTCAGGGACCAGAAAAAACTTCTTATGAAGGTAAGTGTTCAATACAGGATATAGTTAAAAATGGAAGAAAACATTGAGGTATTTGTTAACAAGAATTACTAGCTTTCAAATTATCTTCACTTAATGTCTCAACTGGTTTGTTATTTGTAGTTGGTTCTTTGGGGATTTGGGTGGCTGAATGGTTTAACACATGCGCATTTGAGTCAAGTAGCGTGGTTTCAATTATCCGCTAGACAAGGAGTAGGGTCATCTGTCAAATCCCATCCATAAGTTCTTTCCTGGTCCGGTTTCCAACCTCATGAGTTTTCTCTGGGTCCTCCGGTTTCCTACCACTGCTAAAGACCCCTATGCACAAGCAAATTATTGAAATAAAATTGAACCAGTTTTCTCTGGGTCCTCCGGTTTCCTACCATTGCTAAAGACCCCTATTCACAATCAAATTATTGAAATAAAATTGAACCACATGTTAATCCCAAAATAACATAGTTTGTGTCAAGTGAACATAAAACCCAGTTAAACACAATGCATTATCTGCTCCTGTCTAATTATACATTATTTTTTCAGGGGGTATTTATCATGGAAAATTGATTTTCCCAAGAGAATTCCCTTTTAAACCTCCTAGTATTTATATTATTACACCTAATGGCAGATTTAAATGTAATACAAGGTATGTATGTATATATTGGTCATAAAAAGTTCATTTACATCGTTTGTTAATTAAAATAAGCATAAATTGCATCATACAGGTGCTAAATATTCCTATTTGTTAAAAAAAATTTAATGACGATGCAAATAGAAGACTTTGATAGAAGCAAATGTAAATTTCATTTCAATTTTGTAATGTAAATACAATTAAAATTAAACAAAAGTGTATCTAGGGCAGTGGAATGAGAACTCTTAATGTCTTCTCTGGCTAATTAAGACACATCACAAAATATGAAAAAAAATACATATATTTAAAAGATCAAAATCTGACCTGGGGGTCACGGTGGCTAAGTGGGTAAGATGCTAGCTCGCTAGACTGGAGGTCGGGTGTTCAATGCCTACATTGGCCGAGAAAGTTAACCCAGATTTACTGGCGTGGTTCGCCCTTGTCAGTGATGCAGGACGAAGGGCCTGACAAGGACAGCTGTCTAGTCAATCGGATGAGACGAAAAACCGAGGTCCCGTGTACACATTGGCGTCACGTAAAAGATCCCTTGACAGTTGGAATTCGATATAAGAGTAGGCCGTAGTGCCGCTGTCCGGGCAAACTTTCCTTCATAGCACACTGTATAGCGTATGCCCGTTTTCATTAGCCCAGTTAGGAGCAGAACAGTAGGATTTTAAAACCCATTTCATTTCATTTCAAAATGTTTTAGTAATTTTCATTCATTCTTTTTTTGTAATTAATATTGTGGTTTATCTGTACCAACTTTGAGGCTAAGTATCTGAGCCATTTTATAAGATAAATACATATGAACTGTTGCATATTTTGATTTTTGGAACCATGTGTCTCATTTAGCATATATTATAAATATCAGTTGTGTACATGTAGATGTTATTATAATAAAGTAAAAGTATTGTCTATTTTAGGTTGTGTTTATCTATAAGTGATTTTCATCCAGATACCTGGAATCCAGCATGGTCTGTTGCCACTATTTTAACAGGTTTACTAAGTTTTATGGTGAGAATTTTTAGTTTACAATCTAACTTAATACAATACATCGGTTGGAAGTGGACACTAACTCTTAAACTAAAAGTCTATTGTTTATTAAAATGTCTTCCTGCACATTTCTGATTCAACTTTGTTCAAATCATGTATATTTATAGATTGCCTCTTATAAAATTTGCCACCCACTGCTAAAGACCCCTACATACAAGTGAATTATTGAAATAAAATTGAACCATATGTTTGTCCCAAAATGACCTAGTTTGTGTCGAGTGGATGTTAAACCCAATTTCTCTCTCTCTCTCTGGATGTGATTTGTTCATATGTAATGCTACCTTTTTTATTCATTAGTTGATACTATTTTCAGTTAGAGAAGAGTCCAACATTAGGTAGCATAGAAACTTCAGATTACACAGTAAGTATATCTTATGAAAATTGATTGTGTTATTTATTTGAATAAACCTAGGAATAAACCTCTTATTCTTCATTCCTTGATTTTCATTGAATCCTGTTTAGAATTCTGATTATAAATATAAAGCTTATGTTTCCTGATCAACATCACTATATTCTTGATTTTTTATTCCAGAAACGTCAACTTGCTTCTCAAAGTGGACCATTTAATCTCAATAATAAAACATTTTGTGAACTATTTCCTGACTTAACAGAGGTATGATTACTATTAAGCAACAATTTTTTATATTAAATCAGTCGTGTAGATGAATCCGTTCTTCTTGTCTTATTGGGACCGAGGCTGTTGGTTGGGACAGACTTGTTCTTGAATGTCCCTGGTTCATATTTTGAAATACCTTGTAATATTTACAGTACAGCTGATCTTTCTTACTAAACTCAATATTGATGAACAAGAAATTGGTGTTTATCAGCCAATACCTACATGTACAGCTGCCCACATGATCTACTACAATGGTGGTGTTAGTGGCATGTTTTCTGTGCAGTTCATTTCTAACAATTTGTTCAAAAAACATTTATGACATCAATAGGCATATTTTTATATGCCCACATTTTCATATGGACGTATATTGTCGTCGCCTCTGTCCGGATGTCCATCCATAATTTGTTTGTGGACACCCAGCAGGTCACATTTTTTATCTGATTTTGACGAAACTGCCTGACAAAATGGCCCCTCTTCTACGCAAATAGTGTAAAAGTATGTAATACCAAGGTTGTGGACCCTCTAGACATCACAAGTTTTATCCGATTTTGATCAAACTTAAAATATACGTTTATATCCAAAAGATCTTGTTTCCTTTCGATATCTGTGCATATCGGGCCTGTAACTTCCTGGATTATGGCTCCTGGTTGCACAAAAAATCACTTTTTTTTTTTAGCTCGTTTTCTATCCATCCCTTGCAAAACGTGGGAGTATCTAGCATGACAACCACTAGTTTTACATCAAATATTAATTCCAATAGATAAATGTTTCCGGTGTGTTATGTACTGTAAATATAAAAATTTGGATTGTCAACAAAATTGTGCTGGCAAACAGACAATAGACAATTTTAGAATTAAATGTATTTGTGAATTTTGCAGGAAATTCAGACAGAAATAAAGAGAAGAGAGGAAGAATTAAAACAAGCGACAGAAAGTAGTGGACGATTATCTAATAACTCTCGTATTAGAAACAATAGCCCATCATCTAATGAAATATATAATAACAATGGACAAAACCAGGGATTCTGGGGTAGTGCCCTGGCTAATATATTTGTGATTGTTGGATTTGCGGCCTTCGCATTTACTGTCAAATATGTTCTGAGAAGTGTGATCGATTAACAGAAAGAAGAGTTATCTCTTTTGTTACATGGTATATACTAACAGATGTTGGATGGAGAATAATAATAAGATAGCTGATTACTGAGTATTATTTTCATACTCATTATTAAATACACTGACTAACCCATAATAATTTATAGTAGTAATCATTTCATTCATTCACTCTGTACTCTTTCATAATTATTTTCACAGTAAATATTGGTATGTGCCAGTCAAATTTTCAGTAATGTTAAGAAACTAATTGAAAAGAAATATATAATTGATAACTACATATTTTAAATATATAATTATTAATTAAAATTCTCAACAATTTCATAGGAAAATATGTTGAATCTACCACAGTTGGGGTTCTCTTTTAAGAGCTTATTCGTATAGGAAAGTGAATCTTTTTATTGTTTTTATATGCCCACATTTTAATCTGGTTGTTTATTGCTGTTACACCCTGTCCATCTTTTTGTCTGTTCGTCTGGCGTTCACATTTCAGAGCCTACAATAAACTATATAACTTTTTGAAATTTTGAGATTTTCAACTTCCATATACCCCTTAGTCCGGATCCGGAAATCTTGTTAGCACAATTGTTGCTTGATTTGTAATCCTTTCTGTCTGAAATGTATGTTGAATATGTATCCTATGGAAAAAGAGAACACTTGGTTTTAAACGACTTCCAGGGTGGTTCTATTGATTTTCAAAGATGTTTAATAACAATAGTTATTTCTCTTTGTTACAAAAACTTGTTAGTGCCTTAGTAGCCTTAATAAGAATCTGATATTTTTAAAAATTTGTGTGAGTTGTTTAAATATTGAAAGGAAGAAGCCTTGTGATTTCTAACATTAAGAGACCTTTTGTTATGTAATATTGTTAACATCTTAGAGGCTTTAAATATGATTTGATCATTTCGACATTTTTATGTGTTGTTAGCTCATAACAGACTTTAACAACTGTTGGGCGTATGATTCATTGTCCTGCAACCTATGTTATATTTATAATATAAACTGTAAAACTGTGATGACAGATGATAAATCAGCAATCAGTGCCAGGCTGTATCAAATGTGTGATTGCAAGCCATGATTTGGTGGTATGGATGATTTTTACACCAATTTCATACTTAATTATGACTTACAACCATAACTGCTGAACACAGCACTGTATCATGATTTAAATATATCTACTTGTAAATATGTAAATAAACCAAAAAAAGCATAAATATTGCACTATATATATTATTTATCTTACTATTCTTGTGTATTTAAGTCAAATGTGCAATACACAATTTTATATTTGGCTTCAATAACCCTGAGAGACACAGACAGTGAATTCTATGAAATATTTATTGTAAAGTTGACTCATAAATTAGAAGATTAGTTGGTCTAAATTTTGTATCATTTGTTTTTATTTAATTACATGTGAATTATAAAGTCTGAAAATCTTGAAGTTTGATTAAAAACATGGAGAGTATTAAAAATATGTTTGATTGTCTACATTCTAGTCAACATGAAGCTGAGAGTGTAAATGAAGGAAGTAGAAGCTCTGATTAGAATTTAAATATCCTGTTAACCTTAGGCGGCCTTTTCATCCCCCGTTTTGTTATTTAAATGGTACAGGGTTAACCAATTCAAGAAAATGTTCATCTTGATCAAGATATTTAATGACATGATACTAGTCATTTGTTCATATATAAAATACAGGTAGCGGGGTGTATAGGAAGAAGACTGTTGATTTGTTTTAACATTGTGGGAAGTATTTAAGGATTGGGGAAGTCAATAGTATTTAAAGCAAGTTAATCCATATATTATTAGCATTTTATGGAGATCAACTTTTTTCTTGAAGTCTTTTTGAGATATACTATTTAGAGACTAAATAAATGATGAAATGGTCTTCAAAAGAGAAAGAGATAAAACGACAGATAATGATTAAGCATATACTGTGTTATTAAGTAGTAAAGCATCTTATTTTATCAATAATTTTAATTTCTAGAAGGGGTAAGCTTTAACCATGATGTTAAGCAAATTTGGGTTGAGAATCAACACGTACCTCCTTCATTGTACCTTCCTGCATTAATATATACTTTTGATACTCACTGTTTTATGTCTTTTATTTGCTGAGTTGTCTTCCTTTGAAACTACATTTATTAATATAAATTTCTGTATTAAAGCTACTTATATTTTCAACATACTTTTTAGAATTGTATCAATTTTGAAGATATGGTCATCAACCATTTCAATTCGTCTTCCACAATCATTTACAAACACTCTGTAGACTACAACCAAAATTTTTGTCCTGAAAATTAATGCTGCAACTAATTGATTCATTACTAGAATTCTGTTATTTCTGGGATTTTTGTAAATTGATTTACGCATTGTTTAAAATAGTAAGAGAAAAATGACCTGTTGAGTCGACTGGCGTGGTTTTGATTCCCCGATTGTACGTGACGAGGAGTAGGGTCACTTGTCCAACCTCGTGAGTTTTCTCCGGGTCCTCTGGTTTCCTTCCAGTGCTAAAGCCCCCTACGCACAAGTGAATCATTGAAATAAAATTGAACCATTTGTTAGTCCCGAAATGACTTAGTTTGTGTCAAGTGGAGGTTAAACCCTCTCTCTCTCTCTCTCTCTCTCTCTCTCTCTCTCTCTCTTTCTCTCTTTGTGGACACTCTTATGGGTTTATTCAATGAACCCAGACTTGTACCTGATCAGGAGTATGGTTGCCTGTCTTACCTCTTGGGTTATCTCCAGCAAATCCAGTTTTCTCCCACTGGCGAAGATCCCTGTGTTGAAGTGAATTATTCAAACAGGTATCTGTATTACCTTATCAGTGTTGAATGGAGGTTAAGCTCTCAGTGGGCTGTAATTATCACCTAATCCTTCTGAATAGATGACAGGCTAACCAGAGTTGTACTCAACCAGGATGCCATTAGCTGGAACATGGTGTATTACTTTTAAATTAAGATTGCAAGAAGTCACTCATTTTAGGCAACTTTTATTAATTGCAGGTCTTTTTGTAGTTGTTTTTGCAGTTAGTTATTCTTAGTTTAGCAGATTTCCTGCATTGTCTAAAACAAAGTTTGATCAAGTTAACTTTATGGTCATTCTATCTAATTACATACTGTTGTATTCTATATTATAAATTTATAGGGCACTCATTAATCAATGTTATAGTGAATGTAATTATATTAGCTTTGTGTTGATCATGTGATTACGTTACATAAGTACAAGAATTGTGTTGAAGAACAAATCATCAAAATACAATACAATTAATGCTTTAGTATTAAGACAATAACGTGTGATAGTACGTAGGTTGTGAATTAATGCAAATAAAAGTATCCTGATATTCCTATAATAAATGGAAGTCTTATTAATGGATTTATGAGTGGATGGATGATTGGGAATGTAATTATAATATTGGGTTTGGTTTGTATATGTTTATTTCTGGTTATTGTAAATAATGTAATGTCACAATACATATTTGTATCTATATTGCGGTTAAAAAATGTAAACAAGTTAAACTGCACTTTTATTTAGTTATATCTACACGTTTACATGTGTGATGGGCCCTGTTCCCTATATAATTGCGTTTACATGTGTGATGGGCCTGGTTCCCCATATAATTGCCCATTTACTCTTTGAAAACAAATAATATTCAGAAGTGTTCCATTTTTATACGCCCATATTGAATTTGGTCGTCGTCCCCGTTGGTCAGTCCGGCGTACACGATTGTTTGTCGACGCTCTAAGGGTTAAAGTTAATAACCGGTTGACATTAAATTTATACACGGCGTTTGAGGTCATGAGACGAAGAGGTCAATTGATTTTCAAAGGTTTCCGATAATTACTGCCCGAGATATTGATCACTTTGAATAATCTTGTGGGAGCTCTAGAGACTAAAGTTAATACCCTACTGACTTTTAATTTATAAGTACTGTTTCAGGTTATGCGACAAAGAAGCGTGTTAATTTTCAAGGATTTCCGATTATTACAGCCAGAGTTATGAGTATGACCCTTGATCACAATGACAAATCTTGACAAAGCCTATTGATTCTCAACGATTTATGCTAGAGTTGTGGCTCTTGATTACTTCGAAAAATCTTGTGGACGCTCCACATTCCAAAGTTATCATTCGATTGACTCTAAATATATACACAGTTTAAGGTCGTAAAATGAGCAATGTTGTTATTACCCTTATTGACTACCCGGTTGACTTATCTGCAGCGCCTATTCTCTTTGCCACCGCAGCTTCTCTAAAATTGTCAAGCATTAGCAACAATATGGGTGGTAAATTAAACCACCACAACCTGAGAATTGTTACGGGTGTCTTGTGTGATATTTGAGAAGTTCACATAGCTAAGAAATTTTTATTGCACATTATTATCACAAACTATGTTCAGTAAGTAACAAATTGAAAATTAAAATAAACAGCCGTAACTAGGTTGTATACTAGACTGAAGGTAGGCAGGTGTCACTATTGAGAACATGACCCAGGGTAACTAGCTCCCATTTATACTGCCCATTGCAGCTGCCATAAGTCTCTGAGCGGATGATGTCCACTGACCGTTCCTATCCGGCCCTATATAGCTGTAATATGAAAATGCGATAAAATACCGCTCTTCCCCACCTCTGTTCTTAGGTTGTTTTAGAACCCTAACCTTCTATTTTTCACCGTGATTCTTTATTTTCCGCCAAAAGGAATCATTTCTCACTATATTTGACACAAATTTATAATAATTCAACACCATTTTCAAGTAAAATTTAGCGATGAAGAGAGAGAGAGAGAAATGGGGTTTAACGTCCACTCGACACAAACTAGGTCATTTCGGGACTAACACATGGTTCAATTTTATTTCAATAATTCGCTTGCGCGTAGGGGTCTTTGGCAGTGGGAGGACCCAGAGAAAACCCACGAGGTTGGACATGCGACCCTACTCCTTGTCACGTACAACCGGGGAATAGAGCGTGCACGTGCTAACCATTCGCCCCCCCCCCCCTCAGCGATGAAATAAACATGCAGTTTGTACATGTTCAGGTCCCGTAATGGCTGATCAGTTCAAACGTATTTTGTGTATGTTTTTAATCGCAAGATTCTACTTGAAAATAGTGTTGAATCATTATAAATGTGTGTCAGCTGTGGCAAGAAATGATTACTTTGGCGATTAAAGTAGAATCAAGTTGAAAAATAGCAGGCAAGAATTCTAAAATAGCTTTCGAACAGAGGTGGGGAAGAGTGGTATTTTCATATTGCAACTATATAGGGCCGGATAGTAGCCGTCAGTGGAGGTCGTCCGCTCAGATACAGTTCCCAAAGGAACTAGGTATGAACACAGGAGTCTGACCTTCTATATATGCATACACCATATCCAACCAGACAATATACAATAAAAAAAAGAATTATATATTGTCTGGTTGGACATGGTGTAGGCCTATGCATATATATACGGATAGAAGGTCAGACTCCTGTGGTATGAACCAACTTGCTCAGGTATAACACTAGTGGATATCTTGCTGGCTTTGGAACATCGTGACCGTCTGTGTTGCCTTTGAGAAATGACTTAGAAATAACATGGTGTTTTACTTTGTTTTTATAATAAACAAAATGGTCTTTGAGTTTTTGAATTGTCCAATTCATTCTAATACCTTCCGCACAACATCGTGTACGAGATTTTTTTCTTTTTCTAAAACAAAATGCAGTTGGCTGCACTCATCATTAAAATCTAATGATGCATAGACTACATATACAGCCTATTCAACAAGACAAGACTACTTTTCAAGCACGGGTCTTAAACCCGATCTGCTTCCGATACAACTCATTCTTTTAAATAATTTATAGTCTTATTTTGTAGCTTTTATTTCGAATTATAATTTTCAGTAAACGCCACATTTTTCCTTTTGACCAAATCTTTGACAGTTTATCCAGTAGCTTTCACCAATACAATCTAAGAAATATTAAACTGTATTAGGACGAAGAAGTAGGTAAGGAGAAATCCTGCAAACTGTGTAAAAAAGAGAAACTATAGAAATGTAGCATACAATAATTCTGAGAGTTGCATTTGTATAAATAATATCGAAATGCACATGCATGTCATTCATTCAAAACTCATTTTATATAACATGACATATAAATATAGGGATTAAAGGCTCGAAATCAATGGTTTATGACATCATATCGGGCTAGAAAATATATAAAAAATATACTTTACTTTGTGTTCTTTCGCAATTTGTACGAATTGGTTTTGATATTTGACATAAAGGACTTTATGTACTTTCGAATTCTGTAGATTGGAATTTTGGCGAGACTATTCGTTTTACAGAGATGACTTATAGTCGGGTAAAGATAAGCCATATGGAATGGATACCTAGAACAAAATGCAACAGAATTTTTCTCGATGGAATCTGGTAGAGGGGTCCCTGAAGGTCTCCCAAACAAAAATCGCCCAAAATAAAAAGATAGGTTTTCGAGTAATAAGCATAAATCCAATATCACCGCCATTGGCACCTTAAAACTCCAATATCACCGGAATGGTTGAGTTTGGAGGGTGTAAATGTATTACGGGGAGATAGGAAAGTGGTAAATATGATTCAGAAAAACATAGCTAAAATACGTTCCTGTGACGTCATACCGCCATACGGCCAATAATTTGCATAAATCCAATATGGCCGCCATTGAAACTTAAAACTCCAATAGGCCTATTTCGGGATTGGTTAAGTTTGGAAGATGTAAATGTATTACGTGTAGATAGGAAAGTGCTACCAAAGAACTTGAAAAACAATGCCAGACGACTTCCTTGTGACGTCATAACGTCATACGGCCAACAATAAGCATAAATCCAATATGGCCGCCATTGGCACCTTAAAACTCCAATATTTCGGGAATGGATGAGTTTGGAGGGTATAAATGTATTACGGGTAGATAGGAAAGTGCTACCAAAGAATGGGAAAAACATTGCCATATTAAGTCACCGGGACGTCGTAGTGTCATGCGTCCAATAATTAGTATACATCCAATATGGCCGCCATTGGAACCATAAACATCCAGTTTCTCGCGGATGGTTGAGTTTAGAGGGTGAAAATGTATTACTTGTATCATCTTGTCAATCAATTCATATATTTCTTGAATATCTATTACATGTCATCAGATTGTAAAGATTTTAACAGGAATATTGTACCAGGTTTCTGATAGACCTG